ACAGAACTACAAATACATAATCACACCCAAATAGCCTATTTGCTCATAGCTCTCAATGATGAAATCAAAATAGCCATGGTAGGTACTCTCAAGCCTTATTATCCCAATTTATGCTTTCGTCTATTTTTCTCATGTTCTCTAAAGGCCAATCCCTCTCTTTTCTACCTCATACACAGACAATCATTCACAAGATTATATTTACAATAATATCCTCTTTTTTTTTATTAATTTTATTTGCACAAGGTGATGATATGGTACTCGTGCACACTCAAATCTTGATCATCACACGAGCTAAACATACCTAAATACATTATTTTTAACCACCTCAATTATTAATTCAGAAATTTACACACTTATTTCAAAATATTTACAACTTGTTGTAATTTATTTTTTTTTATTTCCTTTTAATTATTTAATAGTATTTTGGCTATGCTGTATGTTGGACTTTTTTTGGCGCAAGGGTAGTTCTTTAACATAAAAAAATTATTTATTTTATTACAACTATCAGGGCTCACCCGATCAGAAATTAGAGTAGTCAAATTAGCTCCACAGTTTATCGATGGCCAATTATTTTCCCGGAAACTCATCGGAAATCGGCCTCCTGATGAACCCGACCTACGTGGGCTACTCCGGCAGCCACACCGCCGCCGCCACGTCAGCCTCCGGCCTCCACGGCTTCATCCCGCCGAACATCCAATACAGCCTCTACGGCCTCCCCGTCGATCCCCCGCAGGGACTCTCCCTCAGCCTCTCCTCTCAGCCGTCACTCGCCGGAGCTCCGGTGGCGGCCCCGCCGCCGGGATCTGGGATCTCGAACGGTGTGCTCCTGAGCTCAAAGTACCTGAAGGCTGCGCGGGAGGTTCTGGACGAGGTCGTGAGTGTTGGATGGGCCGAACTCACCAAGGGGCGGCGCAAGAGTGCCAGAGAAGGCTCACCGGCGGTGGCGGTGGGTGGAGACGGAGAGGACGGCAGGGCGGCGGCGGTGGCCGAGCTGACGGCGGGGGAAAGACAGGAAATTCAGGTGAAGAAAACGAAACTGATCAATATGCTCGATGAGGTAATAAGGGCCTGTTTGTTTAATCAATTTTCACAAAAATTTGATGATGTATTGATGACATGTTGCTGACAACGCTCTTTCACAAATTTTGGTGTGAGATGGCCTAACCGTGGATCGATATGTCATAGATATGTCATAAATAATAATAAATGCATATTTCTCCTATGAAAGTTTTACTCATGGTTTTGAAAATCGAACCTGAAGCTACCGGTTCAATGGTTCACTGGTCGGACAAGTGGTCGAACCGACGAACCAATTTAATGAATATACATTTTTTATATGTATAATATATATTTATATATATTTTTATCATTATTTTTATAGATTATGACATTTCTCTAAATAAGAGTTCAATATAATGAAAAATGTTGATAATTTTTTTTTTTAAAAAAATTATTTTTTATATTTAAAATTTTAATCTATATTTAAGTTAGAAAATAAAGAGAATAAAACCAACTTTGTTTTAATTTTCAAATCAGATTTCAAGTTTTTTATTATTCACTAAAAGAATAAAAAAAAAAAATTGGGCATAACAAACAAGAGCGAAACTAGAAAATTAGTTGAGAGGGGGCAAAAGACATGACATAATGGGTTCAGAACCGATGCCGAACCGATAACATTTCGGTAACCGATTTTCGGTTACCGTTACACATAAGTCGGTTCAGTTAGGTTTATTTTCACATCGGTTCGGTTCGATTCGGTTCGATTTTCGATATTCAGTCAAAGAATACCTGGCCTAGCATGAGCAATAAAAGAGAGTTAAAATCTTTTAAATGAGCCAATTAAAATTGTAGAATGATAATAAAATATACAAAATTAATAGTAAAATAAAAGAAGTGTTGAATTGACAATTGTGGACAAGTTGACCTGGTGAGTAATGTTTAAAAATATTTTATTGTTTCGACTAAAAAGAAAAATAAAGAGTAATGTTTAAAAACAAAAAAATCTGGGGGTGCAAAAATAAATTTAAAGGGGGGACAATTTAAAGTTTTAATATTAATAGTAAAAAAAATTAAAATTTGAGGGGGGGGCTCATATATGTAAATTCGCCCATGATAACAAATCACAATTAATTACTTCTTTCTTTTTCAATAAACTAGTATGAGTCCCGTGCAGTGCACGGGTAAGAGAGATTCAATAATATTTATAAATTAATAATTCTTATTAAGTAATATTTATAAATTAAAAATATGGAATCAATATGTAGTACAATTATCTATACTAATTTATTGAAAATGTTATATAAAGTTTAAATTGTATACAATTACATAAAAAATGTCTACTTAAAAATTAGTACACAACCCGTGCAGTGTACATAACTGATAATAAATTACATTATATTCGTTTGAAAATAAGTATCATTTCAAAATTATTATTCAGAAATTCGATTTAACTATAATGTGATTCTATAAAATAGTTATTTTGTAAAATGTTATCATATATTTAACGACCTATGTGAATAATAAGTATAAATATAAAATTTATATTGTTTCATTAATTAAAATATTTTTTTTTTGTATAAACTATTCAAATAAAAAAATTAAGTAGTTGAGTAATTTATTAAGCTACAAATAATTGACTATTTCGTTTACGTCAAAGTTAGTATTGATCCATAAGTTATTGAGTAATTTATTAAACTATAAATAATTGACTATTTCGTTTACGTTCAAGTTAATATTGACCTGTAAGTTATGAATAATTATTTTCATATTTTAAATTTTGATTAAATTTTTTTTTATTTTTTTAATATATTATATACCAAATTTAAACATGCAACTAATAAAAATAGTAGCTGCAAGTTTTGTCAATATATTATATTCCAAATTTAAACCATGCAACTAATAATATAAATCATGCAACTAATAAAGGTAATAACCGCAATATTTGACTAAAATAATTATGTACATTAATTAGGCGGGAATTTTCAAATTTTTGCTAAAAATATTACTCAATATAGTAAATACTTTAGGCGGGAAACTAAATGTTTTTTTTTTTTGTTGATTTTTAGTTGCTATTTCAAGTAAATATCATTGTCTCTTTATATATTAATAGATTGACAATAGATATAACCCAATATAAAATTAGTATACTTTTCTTTTAATGAGTACAAATTTTTTTTGTAAGGCCCGATATTGGCCTAAAATAATTTCAAGAAGAGCATTTATTTGTGAACATATCCCACCTTCGAAACACAAGTAAAAAACGTGTATTATTTTTAAATGACTTCACAATCGACTCTTCACAAGTTCAGAAGTTGTTGAACCGTTTAAACTGGTCTCTGTTTGTTGATTTGTCCGGTTTTGAACCGGTTCGAACGGTTATTAAGCGGTTCGCATGCCTGGTTTTATGTTGCAAATCAGACCAAAATGATGGCCGGTTCTCAGTTGAACCGGTCGGTCCGATCCAATTTTCAAAACCATGGTTTTACTTCAATTTATATTGTTTTGTACAATATAACATTTTAGTTTATATTTTTTTAGAGTATAGTATTTTATTTCGAAATTATACGTTATATGAAAAAGTATGACTAACTAACAATTAGACCACGTTAGCGTCCTCTTGGCCGGATTTTATAACTTTTTAGGGCTTCATAACTGAAAGCTTTCGACAAAAACCAAAACCTTTGTAGCCATCGTCTGATCTTTTCAGATCAGATGTTCTATTCATTCAATTATTTTCTTTCTGATTAAATATAGCTTTAAATATTTCCTTAAAAATGATAAATTATAGTACTCTTCACCTTCAGTATCCAAATTTTCAATAATGATTTATAAGATGTTGTCTTTTATTTAAAGCATATTTTTGAGTGAGACGGACTAATGTCATGATTCATCATACATCTTTAACAAAAAATACACTCACGATATGAAATGTCATACTCCTAATTATGTTATTATTTCAATTTTGAAAGTATATATATTAGAAAGTAATATATATTTCACTTTATTTAATAACTGATGTATAAATTACTTCATGACCTTAATTTACACAAATCAAATCAATCAATGACAGGTGGAACAAAGGTACAGACAGTACCACCACCAGATGCAGACGGTGGTCTCGTGGTTCGAGCAAGCAGCCGGTGTTTGCTCTGCGAAGACCTACACTACCCTCGCACTCCAAACCATCTCCAAACAGTTTCGTTGCCTTAAGGACACGATTTTAGGACAAGTGAAGGCCGCCAGCAAAAGCCTGGGCGAGGAGGACAATTTGGGCGCCAAAACCAAAGGGTCGAAGCTCAAATACTTTGATAACCAAATAACACAACGGAGAGCCTTGCAACAGTTGGGATTGGTACAGAACAATGCGTGGAGGCCTCAAAGAGGCCTGCCCGAGAAATCAGTTTCCGTGCTACGCGCATGGCTTTTCGAACACTTTCTCCACCCGTTAGTCCCTTTTTTTTTTTTAAGAATTTTTGTGTCAATTTTTTTTTCCTATTTTTTATTCGGTTGTTTTTGTGCAGGTATCCGAAGGATTCGGATAAACTGATACTGGCAAAGCAGACAGGGCTTACCAGAAGTCAGGTACATAGACAACCCCTTAATTATATTGTCTTAAATTTTACTGATTTTAAAAGTGATGTGATGTGTGATTATAATGATGAGATTATGTCAAAGTGTATTATCATGTTTACTTCCAAGTAGTGATAGTGATGCTTATATACATAATACTAATCAGGTGTCCAATTGGTTCATCAATGCTCGAGTCCGTCTCTGGAAGCCGATGGTTGAGGAAATGTACGTCGAGGAAATGAAAGATCACGAGAAAAACGGCTCGGTGGGAATAGACAACAACAACAATATCAACAGAAGAAGTAAAATCGAGCACACAAACAACGACGACCCCACTTCAAAACCTCCAAAGGACCCAACATCCATTCCGCCGGGCTTCAACATCATCGGCCCGCAATCCAAAATCGAGGCCCAGCACAACCCCAAGAAGCTCTGTTTTGGGCTTGACATGGACACCGTCAATGAGCCCACGGACGAGCGCGGGCCCAAGATGTGTCTGGGTTCAGGCTTATGGGTGGGCCGGCCAACTTCATAGGCGGGTTTGGGGCATACCCAATGGCCGAGTTCGGGTCTGAACAGCAGCAACAGCAGTTCCACAGGGGTGCGGGCCTACCGTGGAGGTATATATTTTTGTAATTTGTATCTATATATATAGGTACGTGTTGAAAGAGAGCCGTGTCGATCGGTTTCTTATTATAGGTATATTCATAGGGAATTATTGGGGATTGTATATTAATTTTGTTTTCCCAAGAAAAAAGAGTACTCCCTCCATTTTGAAATATAAGGCGTATAAGGAATTCGCACAAATATTAAGGAGACATTAATTAATGAGTAAATTGGCTAAATTAACCTTATTTACTCTAATCACAACTACTCCACACTTCCTTAATTTCAGCACAATGAGGGTATATTTGAAAAGAAAGGGAAGAATTTGCCTTGGATTTTGAGTGCGCCTTATATTTCAAAAAATTTGAGAAATCCTTAAACGCCTTATATTTCAGAATGGAGGGAGTAGATGATTGTGATTGTGTAATGTTGAGAAACGAGTTGTTTTGAGGGTACGTATTGAAGAATAAAAGAGTGGCTTTTAAGTATGACTAACATTCTTCAATTATATTTGTGCTTTGAGTGGTCTGCTCTGGTAATTATATGTATTCATATGTGCTACTATATCTATTCTTTCATCTGTCATTTGAATGATTTAATGCTCTGGTTAATTATCAATGCATCCATATAATTGAATGGTGATAATTTTGATCATAACTTCGTATAATTATAATTAGCTAACATTGGACAATTGATGATAAAACAAGATATTCAGAATCCGCTAACACAATAAAAATATATCACCAATGTTGTGAGAAGAAACCAAAAGAATTTTGGCAGCTTAGAAAACAAAAGCCGAAGAGAAAGATTTTAGCATCACCTTTCTTTTAAGAATTAGATAGGCTCCTAAAAATATCACTGTTGAATATCATTGATTGTTAAGATAGGATGAAAATAGATCTGAAATGATAAGAAAGTATAGAGAAAACATGCTAAAAGTGTGATCAACCATTTTCTGCAAAAAGTGACCATGCACTTTTCATAGTCATATATCAGTGCCTAGGTTCCAAATGAGGTAAGGCCTATATATAGTAACATGATCATGATCCTAGGTTTCCTATGCCATCTTCATTGTCTTCCTTGTATTGATGACATCTACATTCTCATTATGCTTTCTCCATACCATAGCTTCTTCATGGTGCTTGGCAAAGACTTTCTTTAACGTGCCATGTCCATGTATTGTTCTTTTGTGTGATGTGGTTGCGACTCTTTGTCTGTTTGTGCCATGCACACACGAGTTCCGTTTGCATGGTTTTCATTCATGTTGTCATCCCTCCTCAAGCCAAAGGAGGTGGCAAGTAAGACTTGTAGAAGGTTCTGAACCGAGTGAAGGCTTGATGAGACAATGGTTTGGTGAAGATGTCACCAATTTGATCAAGTGAAGGTACATGAAGAACTTTCAAGATGCCTTTTGCCACCTGGTCCCTTACAAAGTGAAGATCTATTTCAATGTGTTTGGTACGAGCATTAAAGAACAGGATTAGAGGAAAGAGAGATGGTGTTGATGTTATCAACCCACACAGTAGGCACTTGGGTGCATGGGATAGCTAGTTCATGCGCAAGAGAAGTATGCCAAATCATCTCAACTGAGGCCTGAGCCAGGCTCCTGTACTCTGCTTTAGTACTCGATCTAGAGATAGAAAATTGTTTCTTTAAGTACTATGAGATAGAATTGTTGCCAAGATAGATGCAAATCCTTGAGATTGACCTCTTGTCATCAAGATCACTATTAAGGATTTAAATAGCTGCACTGAGTGCATCATCCCAGAATTTGAGAGAGACATGAGAGTGATATAGAAGAGTCAGTCCCATCTCAATGATTGTTCTATCTTCTTTCTGCAACCCCATTTTAGGCTGGAGTATAAGAGCAAGATAATTTATGGTTGGTTCCTAAATCTGTGAATATGAAAGTAAGTGCTCTAAACTCTCCACTCCAGTCACTTTAAATGGATTTTATTTTTTGGTTTAATTGATTTTCAGCAAGGTTCTTAAGTGAAAAAAAGGCATCTTTAACCTCTGATTTGAGTTAGAGAAAGTAAATCCAAGTGAATATTGTGTAGTGATCAATAAGGCATACATAATATTGTGAGCCATTAATATTTTTCCTATTCCTTGGACTGGAATTTTAGAATCATCAGCAGATAAGACATTCCCACTTACCATCGAGCTCCACAAACATACTCTTTTTTCCACACATGTGGTTGCTTGCTCTGGTGTTGAGATACCGAGTGTCATCTTGTCTACATTTTTCTTCTTTGTGAGGTAAGAGCTAACTTGCTTTGTTTCATCTTTTCTCTCGGCGAAATTCGCCTTCTCTTCAGTATTAAGTGTATGGCTTCTGCACTCAGACACAAAGTGTCCAAATTTATGACAGTTATAGCATTTTGAGGAAGATTTACCGTACCTCGATTTTTGGTTACTCCTTTCCCGACCGTAGTCTTTCTTTTCATAATTGGTATAGTCACCTCGTTCACGTCCTCGACATCGACCTTGTTCTTGGCCACGACCTCTCCAATATCACCACGGTTGTTAGTCGGCCCTTCATCTTTTTCTTTTCGGGCTCACTTGCATTTTCAAAAGTTGTTCTATATCTTGCTTTTTTCTTTTTTTTTTTTTATGTTTCCTTTTGTAAGCTTGTTGTAAGAAAGTGGGAAAAATATCTGATGTATTATTCACAAAGAGGAGTACACAGCAACAGGACGTAGCCGACGAAGAGAGGAATCGACGGCTGAAAAATTGTGGCGATCGGAGCTGGGGGTGGGTCCCACGCACCGGATGAAGCTGCCAGTGCTGTAGCGGAAACCGGGCGCGTGTGGGCTCCACGCGTCGCCAAACGGGCCAAAATTTTGAGTGACGGCTCGCCGGAGTATGCCGGAGAGTATGGTCGGGGAGGTGAGAATTGAAGACGGCCGGAAACGAGTGAAAAATACTAACCCTATATTGGATTCTAAACCTAATCTGATACAATGTAAGAAAGTGGGAAAAATATCTGATGTATTATTCACAAAGAGGAGTACACATATATATAGATACATAGATAGGATTGCCTAAATTGGGCCTAAACCTAGCCTATAGTACAATCTCAATATTTACATAACTAACACTTGTAATGAGCCCATTAGCATATCTATCGACATCTCCTCCAAGTTTTTTGTTTCTTCAATTGTTAAACAATATGCTTTAATTTTGGAGTTAATGAGCGCAATATTTTATCTATTATTCTAACATCCTCCAATTTTTCACCATTTCTTTTCATTTGATTTGCTACCATCAATACTCTAGTAAAATAATCCGATACAAATTCGGAATCCTTCACATTAGGTGAATCAAATTCACCTTGTAAGGTTTGGAGACGTACCTTATTTATTTGCTCGGCACGTTTGAACGAGACTTGTAACTTATTTCAAGCTTCTTTCATGGTGGATGCGCTCGAGATCTGCTCGAAGTCGTCATCTCCCAATTATTTGTAGATAATGAAGAGATGCTTCTTATCCCTTTTCCTTAAATCCCTTATCCTATTCTTCTGTTGTGGGATAACGCTGCTTCATTCGGCGGTTCCCCGTATCCGTTCTCTACGATCTCCCACACACCGTGAGCTCCGAGTAAAGCCTTCATTTTAATACTCCAATTATCGAAGTTGCTCTTATTGAGAATCGGGACTTGAAAGGATTGCAGGTTGTTCTCCATTAGGGAATGAACTTGACTGTGGTACCACTTTGCTGGAATATATATATATATATATATACATATAGGATAGAGTTCAAATAAGAACTTTCATCTAGTGTAAGAACAAGGAACCAATCATAACCATTCAATTAATATATTTTAACAGATTAGATTGAAGTGGTATAATTGTGGATTTTGTTTAAAATTTCGCATTTATGTTGAGGAGACTATATTTGTCAAGTTAATTATTATCAAATATGGTAGTGGTCTTTGTATATGACCTCTTTGACTATTATTTTTTATTCTTCATTATTTTTTTCCAGTTATATTATCTATCATTGTTTTTCGTTTTTCCTGTTTTCTTTTTTCTTTTTTCTGATTTAAAATTTTTTTATAATATTTTTGTTATTCATACAGAAAAAAATAATTTATCTATAGGCTAATCATGCACATCACCCATGGAATTACCATTGACTAAGTTTTGATTGTGCTTAAGAATTTATTTTGTCAAATATAATACATAAAATTTTTACACTAGTGTTTTGTTGTCCAACTGTGGGCATTATATATATTTAGGCACCCTATATGCAAATTCAATGATTTCTTGAACTTCTGTAGGATATTTTATTATGAATTACACCAAAAAAATATTTGATAGTTTCTTTGTCGGCACCTTTTTTGGCTTTGAAATTTTATTATATATTAATAAAAATTGAAAGATAGATTAAATACATAATATTGTATCATATAATATTATCACTAACAGTTATTTAGTAGCAAGAATATAAACATTCCATAGCATCAAAAACATATTAAGTCTAATAAATTGTTAGTTACTCCGAAAATTTAATAGCTAGCACTAAATTTTGCAAATAATAGCAACATATTGAACATTTGACAACATCAAGTTCATATTAAGACTAATTGGTTGCTAGCTACATTACGAACATTTGACGTAGCTAGCATTAATAATTGGAATAGTGGCATATATATGAATAATTCATAGCATTAATAATTTGATAATGTAATTCGTCATAATAAATTATCGATTTGATAATGTAATTCGTCAAATCTATGATATTGCCAACAAGAACTCATAAAATTAGAACTACATTGCATATCAAGTTTTGAATTTATTTAATAGCATTTTCATAATAAATTAAAACTATATTATATAGCAAAACATTTTTGTTTGTTGATCTTATACAAAAGATAATAGCAATGCAATTTTTGTTAGATATAGTACTCTTTTTTAATCATAGCAATAATCTCCATTATTAATAGCACTAAAATATTAATATAATAGCACAAAGTCCCTCATAATCTACCAAATAGACTATACGATAACTACTAGCATAATTCATTTTCAACTTCATTGTATATATTGTTAAAACTAGTGTCAGGTGTATCTGAAATTAGCATCATCACATCATATAATGTGCATAACAAATTTCATTATTTGGTATAAAATTTGTTGGTCATAGTTACCATCTTTTTTACAATTAAATTTCCATAAAATCTGGGTTCAATAAAAGAGGAGATTTTCAACTAATATCACTTTCCTTTTCCTAGTTTGTCCGCACATTAACTCAATAATTAGCTTTAATTAACTTCCTAATATACAACATCTCAAACGTTAATAATTATATATTTGAAGGCTAGGATTGGTTCCTAGTTCTTACACTAGAGATGGTTCTTATTAGAATTCTCCCCTATATATATATATATATATATATGGAAAACGCTACAATCCCGTTACGGAACCATTCCGTTGGGATTTGTAACCGTTAGAACCGTGAGAACCGCTATTTTTATTTGGGCATAGTGCTATGATTGATTGTGTTTGATGCTATTTTTAACTAGGATGAATTTTATTAAAAATAACAACACAATTTCTGGTAGTACTTGTAAAAATGATAGCATCATCTAATATGAAAAATAGCATCATGCACAATTAAAAATAACATAAAAAACAATTCTCACGGTTCTCACACCAGGACTAGTTTTTATTTGAACCAACCCCTATATATGCAAAGTAAAAGCATATGCTTCGTAAATAATTTCGATCGTGTTGTTTGTAAACCTTCATGACTCGGCCTTTTCTTACATATGCCGACCGCTAAGCATTTTTTAATTGAGCTAACTGAATCTGGAAATTGTACTTTAATCCGATTTTTTTTTTCTTTTGTATTTTATGAATTATATTGGAGAAGGCAAGAGGTAGAGGCGTGATCTGATGGGAAATATGTTTAACCATTGCTTGGATGGGCTTTTATATAAAGTAAAGAGAACTTTTTAGCCATCGGATTATGTGTGTCGAATGTGCACCGTTTGATCATGTCAAAATTAGATATTTATCACAACTGGCTACAGCATTCGGGCTTCAATTGTGATGTTGGGTTGGGATCTTAAATGGGCTCTTATTGGCAACATATATTGTTTTAATCTGACCCATCTATT